TCATGGCTCCCGTTATGCGTATGTATTCCAGCCTTTGTATTTTGGTGAGAGCCTTGACAATCTCCCATTGTGTAGTTTTTCTAGCCCAGGTAATTGTTCGATAAGTTACATGGGTCGTACCATAGACCCAATATCCTTACTTTAATATATACAAAGGCTCTATTTAAGATTTTTGTTTCTTTGTAAAGTACTTAGGTAAAAAATTCAAGCAAAATAAAGTTACGATTTTTTTCTTACACTGGTTTTCAATAAACATGGCAAGTAATTTTTTGAAGTGGTAGTTGATTTTAAATACGATTAAGTTTTTAGTGGGTAATCTACGCACGTCTGTGCAAAGCTGAATTTCAAATTAAAATAAGTTAAGGCCTTTCTATATTAAGGTAACGATTGGTAGATCCATCTTCCCATCACAAAAAATGAGCCAAGTCTCTTTGTCGTTTTTTACGGTGGTTTTTGGTGGATTTGCATTGAACTCTTTCCTGGCCATTTGTTGGATAATTTGATTCTAAGACATAGGGTGCCTTCAAATTTTCTCTAACAAAACATAACGACATCATCAGCGTACTCTGGACAGTAATCGTTAGCTCTCGAAGCAGACCGTTATCAATTAAATATGTCCAAAAATAGATGAAATATTTAATATCACAGCCCTCTCTAGGTTAGGAAGGCGTGTAAAAATGACTGGTACTTCCACTCGGAGGCAGATTTGCCCATTGTTAGTGCCCTCTGTGAGTGCCAGGAGGAGGCACATCCTTCTAACCGAGGTTAAACCATAATATCAGTATACAGTCTGCCAAACCATTTATTATCGTGGATGAAGCCGATATTTTCACCTCCGCTATCTCTCCCAAGCTATTGAAAAATCGTGATCCCAAAGGTCATTCGCTACGGCTGTAGTGTGTTCTTCAATCACTATATAAATAGACATAAATTAGCCCATGGTGAAAAGGAAATTCTTATTGTTCCAACACACTAATGGCCATCATATCAATATCCTTTTGTGTTTCTACATTGATTGTTAGTAAATTTCTTTGTTTGCACGTATTGTAAATTTCATAGCTTTATTATTATATCCTTTCATATCCTTGCATGTACTTCAATCATAATATGCATCCTGCAGGCATACAGCATTCTCCAAGCTTATTGCTTCAAATATAAATTATTTATATCTTTCCATCAACGACGGATTAAATGAAGTAAAAATAAATTGAACAGAAGGACATCAGAGAAGGTTTGTGTAAAATAATTCATTGGAATTTCTTCCAATGCGGGCGCAATGGCTACCTGTCATGGTTACTGAACAAAAGTTCAACAGGTTTGTAATGAAAGATATGTGTACATTGATGTGGTAATAACTAAAAGGTGGGTTTGTAAGAACATATTTGCTGTGGTCACAAACCATAACCGCCTGAGTCGAGTTACGAAGAAATCGAATTACATACATATGTACATATATAGTTACATCTAGCCTAAATATTTAAAAAGGTATAACGAAAATATTTTGATATCTTCAAAAAGTTAGCATTACGATGTCTAAAACGTTTTTAGTCGAATTGAAGTTTTCCGACTTAAGCGGTTATGACTTGCGACCGCATATTTACTCATTTATCGTACTCATATATGTATGTATAAATGCACTTATCAAACTCCAACGCTACCTTCGCTAAAGTCCTTCAAGCTGTTTAAGGTTAACTTCCTAGAAATATATGTACGTGTGTATGTACCTTTCATATGAAAAAATGATGTCGCGTGCTCTTCAGACACATTTCATGAATGCATGTACTTTATTGTATTTTATTCCTGCACGATCAATGTATAAACGTATGTATTTACTTGCATTACATGTAAACCAATATCATCTTGATTGCATTCAATAAATTCTGTTTGAGTTGCTCGAGTTCTGCAGTTGTCTTATTCTCTTAGCCATTCATCCGCTTACATATTTAATAATTTATATTATATTCAACATTTCATTTGCCTCTATCTCTTCTTACATTATACGAGTGTCGCTGTATTTGCTGTCTTGTTCTATCTGCTCATTCAGTTGTTTAACTATTCTCGTTGTGTTCAATGTCATTAAGGTTGTTCGATGTCATGCTGGCCATGTCCTGTCACAATTCTATTTTGTGCTGTGCTGCCGTCCAATGCCTGTTCTGTCATGTCTTGTTTCATTCTCCATTTTCATGCTGCAGCTGTGTCTGAATACTTTGTCCATTTGTTGATTCCCCAAAGTTTTGTCGCTTCAATAGATTGTAAAATGTTGAAGGTTTATGTATATGTTATGTTATGTTAGGGTGTCGCAAATTTGTTTACGAAAATTTCAAATACGTGCTCTATTAATAATGTACTTATGTAAAAAGTTTCACTGCTATAAAATGACGATAACTCGTGCCGACTTTCGTTAAGGAGTTGTGCTGAAGAAAAATATACAATTTTGAGTTCTCAAGTTATTTGAAATTAATAACTCCTGTCAACTTCATTCGATGCAGGGCTTTAGGCTGGCTGATCCTCGGTATGAGTTAGATGGCACTTTCGATTTCTAGATGTAAAATTTTTCGAGCATGAAAAAAAAAATTGCCGCACGATTTGGCAATCTCAGCATAAATTCTGAGTCTAGGAATACCCTAGTGCAAGCGGCTGACTTGCATAATGATATTAATGATAGCGATATAAACCGTTTATTTGCTATTAATGAATTCATATTTATATTTAGATATTCACCAGCATAACAAATACAAATAAATAATTTATTAAATCGTTCGGTTCGTGCTCATCAACAGCATCATTAGGATGCTGCCAACTGAGAGGTCATTGACATACCAAACGAATAGGGAAATATGTTTTTTTTGTGAAGAAAATTCATGTATTTATATATGTACGTATATGCAGTGCTCAGAATTTCCGTTCGAAACCCTATTGCTGATTACTATGTAGTAGGGAAATCAAACCAACTTAATTTGTGTTTTTTTCTTGGTGCAATTACGAAATTAATTAATAATTATAAATATATCAACCTTTGTGAATTCGTGGGAGGAAAATAATTCTTGAAATATCCCTGCATGTCTCTATTTTGGCAGGCCACCTTTTGGATTCTCTGGCTGGCTGAAGAGCTGCTGCACTTCAACATAACGCCCAAATGTATGCATGTATTAGAATATTTACAGCTGCATACACAAATGTATATACAGTTGTATGTGTGATGTACCTACAAACATACGTAAGAATATTTTCCAGACTGCTTCTGCATGCAATGGGAACACTTGGTTCGACTTCAGTGAAGTGCTTTTTTGCTTTGAACTATAGTCTTAACTTTTGAAAAGTCTGTTACGCGCAGCTGTCATATTGTTGCATACTTTTTGGCTGTTACTTTTGTATTTGGCATTGTGTTTGGAAATTAAATATAAGAATCACATTTGCATTGCAAATGTTTGTCTAGGGAATATTAAAGACGTATAGTCTAGAGAAAAATATTCGGGTGGATAGAAGGATGTCTCGAAAGTACCATCTACCTATATAAACTGATATATACACTGGTACACAGACGAGTCAAAGAAGGAGGGCAGAGCAGGAGGGGGTGTTTTTGGGCCTGGCAGCAAACTTTCTATTGCAATGTGTCCACGGTCTTCAAGGCCGAGTTACTAACAATCTCAACTTTTGCCAGACTGAACCGTGAAAAGTGTTTAAAAGGCGCGTTTCTATTTATCTTTTCAGATAGCCAGGCGGCCATAAAGGCCCTTTCCAATACGATTATCGCCTCCATTCTCGTCAAGGAGTCCTTTGACCCTATCCAATTCTTGGCAGCGAGGAACACGGTATTACTATGCTGGGCATCAGGACACTGCGGGTCCGTGGGTAACGAGTCCGCCAAGGAATCGGAAAGGTAAGACTCATCGACTTGTGAGGCTGGAACGGTTTTGTGAACTCAGTTGGTCCTTCTCGAGGCTTACAATAGAATCGTCGGTAAACTCAAACTGCGGTAAATACTAGGGATAGGTGGGCCGCCTCAGATAGGCTAGACTTTTTGGTTATCCTTTCGCTAGGAAAGATACACATCTTTTGAACAAAGCCGATATCAAGCTGCTTATTGGCTACCTGACGGGCCGTGGTTGGTTGATTGGTTTAAGTAGATTGTCACCTTGTCACTTGGCGGCTTTAATGAATTTCAGTGCACTCTGAAATATTTTGCAGAAATGGTTTGCCGATTGTCTTTAGCCTCATCTTTGCGAGGGCTGTACATTCGAACAGGAAGTGTTCGACTATCTCTTTTGAGCCTGGGTCATCGCAACTGGGACAGAAGCTATTGCAGGGTATGCAGTAAATTTGTAGGCATCTTTCTTTCTCATTCCTGAGAGAGATTTGGTGTTAAGTCTTCCTGAACAAGGCGCCCATATCCACCGCGTGGATACATTCAGTGCGGAGTCGTAAATGTCTGTAAATGTCCCTATGTCGCGGGATCCTTTTTAAGGTAATTTCTTATTGATCATAAATATTGGCCACATCTCCTAAATTCATCCACTTGCTGAGATCTAACAGAGGTCTGGAAGAGAGCGCCTGAATGCTTCAGGTATTCACAGTCCATACCAGTAAGTTTAGGAATTCGTCTACTTAGAAACTTTAAGCTTTCATAAGTGAGGCTAATAATATCTTGGGCCGTCAGGTTTAGGAACCATCCCTTTCTGTTACACCCAAATAATTTACACTACAATATGTACATTTATATAAACTGCTATTTGCCGTAAGGGATTATTTTTTTCCTAATTTGTTTATTTAATCTATTAAATTTATTATTAAATTATAAATTTAAGGTGAAAGTTAGCGCTACCTGCTGGGGCTATCGCCTAGTAGTTGAATTCAAATCATTTTAGGAAATATGCATGACAAAAATTTAATAATAAAAGCGTTAAATGTTGCGTACTTTTATGAGTTCACTTAATTTCTTTATCTTATATTCTAGGACGTAAAATATTGTTTGCTTATTCTAAAAAAAATTCAAAACCTACCCCGCCACGACCGCCGGACCCCTCAATGCTCTCATCATCAATGTAAATTTCGTCTTTGGACGTTGGTGAGAGACTCGCTGATGATGCTGACGTTAACGGTGATATCGGTGATGGTTTAACAGTCTTCTGCAAATAGAAGGAAAATAAGAAATAGATAAGCATATTCGTTTGTAGCAAAATTGTTACAAAAACAGCTACAAATCTTAGCACAATTACGTAGCACAAAAATCAGAAATTACTTTGTGGCGTCTCTCAACTTTCAGAAATCAAAGCGACAGGTATTTCTACATTAATCAAAAGTTTAAGTACTTAGTTCAAACGTGAGCTGCGCGCAAAGTAGCTAAAGTTTGTAGAATATTAGAAAAAGTGACTTCTGCTGCCAAACTTACTTTTAAAGCAGCGACGCCACCTGAATTGTTTTCAGCAAGAGAGTACAATTTTGCCTCTTTTCGTTTATTTTAATTTTATTTTTTGTGTGTGGAAATGCGCCAGTTTGTAATACCGCCAGTCAGCTCATTAGTGTCAAGGTGTATAGAAAGTGGAAAGTTTGTACATAAATTTATAGAAAAGTAATTTCAAGCGCGAAAGGGCGTTAAGGCGACAAGTGTGGAAACTTGTGTTGCAATGACGCAGGGTCGACCTAGTTTGCAAATATGACAAGTGTTTTGGCTGAAAAACTGCAGAGCTGTCATTGCCGTGCAAATGGCTATAAATAAATAGGCGTTGATGGGAATTTCAATATTTTGCATTGAATGGATATATTTATAAAACAAAAAAGAAATGTAGAAAGAGCAGTGATTGAAGTTATTACATTAAATTCAACGCTCGCGTTTTGGCACGTATAAATGGGTCAGAGAGTAGGCTAAATAGTGAGTTAATGAATGCAGAAAGTAAGGAAAAGGAGGAGGCAACAGAAGGTATTTTTTTTTTAAGTTTATCGCAATTGGTTTATTTGCTTCACACATACATACTTACACATCATTACCTAAAAGGGAAAAGGTGCAAAGTCAATTTTTTGAAATTGTTCAGGAGGGAATAATCGATGTAGTTGCGCATTATCTGTCATTCTGAATCAAGAACTAAATTTTGAAAAAAGTGGATTTGGCACCTTTTCACCTTTACGCAGCGATATACATATGTACATAATGTAATGTATGTATGAGCACAGGTTATACATTTGAAAAATTTATAGTCATTCCCAATGGCACAGTATATGCAACAAAAACTGCAAAAAAAATCATTACATTACATTACAACAACATACATAAATTTTTAAAGCATACTTTTGATTATTTATTATACAGTAATAGCAAATAAACGCTCGTTGTAAACATATAAAATGCGTTTTTTATGGCTCATAAATAATTCAAAAATGGAAATGGAAAACATATTAAATGCTAATGGCGTTCATTTCAATGAAATATTTTTTTTTTCAAATGCGCTATAAAAAATTAACAGTTTCAAATAAATACACTAAGTAGAATTACTTGCTTATTACGAAAATCGAGTTAATTTTTTTTTGTTTGAATGAGTTTTCGAAATATTTGCAATTTACCGTTATTCAGCTAAAAAAAAAAGAGTTTCCACTTAATCATGCATATCTTGCGAAGCAATTAAACAATCTTAATGCCAAATATAGAAACTGACAACTAATAAAATTATCCATAAACTGTTTATAAATCACTTTTCGATCGGCCTGATAGTTTCTGAGAAATTAATTAAACATCCAGATTTTTATTTATTTTTTATGAAAAATTAAAACAATTTAAACTTTAACAGTGAAAAATAAAAAAAAAACAGATTATTTATTTGTACACTTTTTTTTTAAATTTTGTTAAAGCTTAAAGCTTAGAATCCAGCTTTCAAGAAAAATCACAAGAAATATTTTTCATTAGTTCTGTCGTTTGAAAAAGCACTTTGCTTTTGCTGTACATTTTCTCGAAGAAATAAATAGCATTTTTTTACTTGAGAGCTGCAAACTAATTTAAGAAATTTCGATGGAAGGAAATTTCTTTTCCATTTCTTGTGCGTCATTTTATATGAAGTTTTCGTTTTTCTTGAGAGCTATAAATAGCCCTTAATGAAGAAAATCGTTGGAGTAGTATAAAAGGAATGAGTGGTCAAGCGAAAATGCGCAAAGATTTGTTGTATGAAATATGAGTAGGAAAGAATGTTACTCATACGCCATGCCATCCCAGAGAATCCTCGAACTAGCCGCGTTTTTTAGAGGGCAATGCCTACGCAATCAAGTGTTCTTTGTACTCTCGAGTGATGACCCTTTAAGAAATCGATATAAGCATTTAATACGACTTCTAGCTAACGAATGCAATTTGCCAACCGGCTTATGGGGTAATTTACGTTTGGTAATAGGCATCGTGGTCAAATATTTTTCAATCGATGTGTTCTACGAACTGTGGATTTTCTTTTTCATAAAAGCTTGATTTTTCGCAAGTCCCAATCATACGCGAAAGTGTAATTTTGAAATCAAACCGAGCCCGCTTTATAGCTTTTGGTATAAAAAATGTAGCGCTGATTGGCCTTTGAAGCTCTAAAAATAATCAAAGTGCTGGGATTTTATCGTAACTTCCTTCGTCTGTTGATTGCCGGTTTAACAGCCAAGCATTTTTAGAGTCAGAGGTTTTTCTCCTAACTACATATGCTTTTACGATCCGTAACGAAAACTTTTGAGCAACCTTTACTTGCCGATAAATATGTACGTCCACAAACGTTTAGCTAATATTTCATTGAAGTACGCTTAGTCATGGGTGTAAAATAATAAAAAAACAGCAAAGAAAACGCTGCCTATTGTACTTATGCAACACTCAATCAAAACATGGTATAAACATATGCCTATTCCCGGGCGCTTGGATTATTAATTGGCTATCAATGCAACTTGTATAAACATATTTTCATTTTATCCACGAAAGCTCAAAAATAAATCAACACCATGATTGTGCATCATAAATCAATTCTCTAGCCAGCCAACTAATGCCAGCGCTCTTATACACACACACACACACAACCAAACACGCCTGATTGAGCTTGACAGGCGGCATACATTTAGGCGCAGCGAAGCAAGCGGGAATATCTATGCTGCCAATGACGAGCGGCGGTGGGCCTCATAAATAGTCAATGGAGTGCAGCAGGAAATAAATGACAAGCATAAATATGAGTATGTATTTATATACATACATAATAATTTACAGCTACTTTATCTGGGTGGTCGAGGCAAATGGGTGCGGCACAAGGCGTGGCTGACAAGGCTGTTGCTGTTGGCCTTTAGTTCGCATCATAACTAACTAGTGAATATTGATTTTATGGGCCAACGTCTGCCGAGTCTCTTGATGCTTGTTTTGCTTGTCACTTTAGCGCATTTACGCTTCAATGATTTTTTTCTTGCTTAGATGCAGAGCATTCGTTGCCAACTGTGCCAACTTTGCTTATCAATGAAAGTATTTTTTTTTCTTCCTTTTTTACAATGCCGTCTGACCGAGCGAGATTGACAGGAAATTAACAGAGATATCGTGAACTTAGCCGAAGAGGAAGGAGAGGAAATACAAAAATAAGAAAACGCAACCAACAAAAAAAAGGCAAACGAGCAAATGATGACACGTAGTTCTTTGCTCTTTATGCTGTTCACGCTTCCTTTGGCATTCATGCGAACATCGAAGTGAATTTAAACGCAACCGGCAAGTAATGAGAGTCAATGGCATGGAAAGTGTGAACAAAGTGCAGCGGTTTTTTGCATTCCAATGCAGCTCTTCTCTGTTTTTTTTTTTTGAGCTATGTTATGTTAATTTTCGCGCCGTCGACGCCTGTAAGCATGCTGCATAATTTAAGAATTTAATTTCAGCACTGATTGTGGCTTCGAAATGTGACGATAAACACTAAATGTTCGTGGTTGAGTAATACGTTTTTATTTCGGTTTACAGATTCGCGGTTTAAACGTTAATGGTCGTTGGTATGATGCCGTCCGCCTGTGCTGTTGCAGCTGCAGCTTGTTGGGCGCCAGCAAGCATTACATCAAGCAATTGTGCGTGTTTGTGCATACTGCGCACTGAAATGCAAATTATTTTCCTTTTTTCATATTTATTGACGAGGGTTTTAAAGGCATTGTCCTGCCTGTGCTGCATACTTACAGGCGTGCCAGCATCATAGGCGTGCGCTGTTGAGGCGACTGCGCTCCTGCAACCGCAAAAAGCAATTTTCATGGTAAACACCGCGTCGTCGACAGACGCATATGACAATTACTTGTGTATTTTAATTATGCAATTCAATTCGGGAATTGTTAATGCGGTCAGCAAACAGCAGCGCACATGTGGACAATGCTTGATGGGAATTCTACATACAAGTGGATCTAGTGAATGTGGGGAAAGTGAGTGGGTTGCGTTAATACTCTGTTTTTATGCAAAGTGATATAATTTCATGTGTCAGTTATTCCCAGGCGTATTCTTTTTAGAGCTAAAGTACCCGCCTTCCCTTTTTCAGCAGTTCGGAATTGTTACAAAATTAGATAAAGTAGATAGTCCTTTTCCGACATATTATATTTAATTATATATATATTAGCGTGGGCCGAAAATCCGCTTTTTAAGAATTTTGATTGGTAATAGCAAAAATATAACTCATTATGCTTTAAAAAAAATTTGTACGAAATTTTAAATTTTTTGGTCGATATCCTAGGCTCGCCCAAGTCCATCAAAGTTCAACATGCTCAAAAAATAAAAATTAATAAATAATTTTTTTTTTTAAATTGCAATAATCTTCGAAAGTATTAGTCCAACATAATTTGGTATATGGACCTTTTTAGTAGAGAATCGATGTGAGCTAAAAAAAAATTTTAATACTTGAACTTTGGTGAACATGGGCGAGCCTAGGATATTGACCACAAATTTTTCACATTTCACACAGATTTATTTTAGAGTATAATGAAACACATTTTTGCTATTACCGATCTAAATTCCAAAAAAAAGCGGATTTTCGCCCCCTCCTAATAAACATTTCATAAAAGAGATAGGGTCTGCTCTGTTAAGCTTTTTAGATTGTTGCGGTCCTAGTTTGTGGTGACGGAGAGAGCAGCGCTCCTGTATCACGACGAATTACTGCAAGCGGCTGACAGGGGCGGCCCAAATGATGACAACTTACGGTGATGGTGGCGGCGGCCTCCAAATGGCGACCTGTAGCGGCCTGTAATGACCACAGAGACTGTTACCTTTGTGTGGCAACATCAAGGCGCTCGCCAAAAATCGGAGGCGAAGCTCGGCCAAACGCTAACATATGTGTAAGCACCAAACTATTATTATTATTATAAGGAGTACAATTTTTAATTTCAACTGAAGTCTACCGTAAATAGAAATTTTCGGAATATCCTGATTTGAGCACCACCCAGCAGATCCATTTTTTTTTTAGAAATATTTCTCTTCACTTACAATTTCAACTGAATCGGGCCAAAAATAGTAGTTTACTGAATATCTCCATTTCAGCACCAACTGCCGGATCCATTTGTGTATAAATATTTCCCTTCGTATATTGAGCAAAAAATTTCCAATTTCAATTGAATCGGAACATAATTACGGATTTTCAAAATGTTTTGACTTCAGCGTCACCTAGTGGGCTAAAATGTAACCTTTGTCCTTGATAATGGTCTAAGGAATGTATTTGTCCGTTCATTAGTTTTGAAGTTAAGGCTTTTCACACATAATTTGGGACTTTATTTTACATGCATATACAGATTTGCTTTCATATTCGTTTTCGCCATATTTCGTTGTATTGCTATATTTTTTACGAGAGATGTCGCTTAATGTAAAATATATTGCTAGGAAAGTGGTCAAAAATAGGTGAAATCGTACTAGTTCTTGCCCAGCACATGTCTAGGTAGATTTTCCTCGCCACTGCGAACGAAAATAACGCTACGCCAGCCAACCACATTATAGCAAAACAAATTAACGCTCGAAGCAATAAAATTTGTAATAATTCGTGCCTATAAGTATGCCCACAAATACATAAGTGAATACAGATACACCGCCATATACTGCTCTGTTCGTTATGAGACATTTTCCATCTGTGGTCTTACTGCGGTGAATGTCCTGCGCTGACGTGTTGCATGCAATACAAGCAGATAATTAAAAACAAGCGCTACTGCTGTTCCCATGTTACCATCACTTCTTTAACGCTTCATGCAATGCACTGCTAAGGCGCCCAAAGAAGTAGTTATTTTCAATTAAATTTTTTTTTTGTATTTTTATTATGTTGCCGTCATGAAAAGGAAGTCGATGTCGGAAGCAAGCGGAAAAGTTGGCATGCCACATGAGTGTGGCAAGTTGCCTTGCCGTTTCATTATCTTTCTTGTATTCTTGCTTTCTTTTCACCAAAAAACAAGTAATTATAGCATACTTGCAGGCGTACTGGGTGTGAGAAGAAACAGAAAAAAACTACATAAGGCGTGAATGACTCCGAAGAAAGGCAGCGAAGAAAGGCAGCGAATAAAGGCAGTAGTTAGTTGAGTTGTGCAAAGCAGCAACGGCTGCAGACCATTAAGGCAGTGGTTAAACAGACTGCATTCTGCGGTTCGGCGGCGCTTATTCTTCACGCGCTCCTGAGAAGTTGCCATGAAAGGAAGCAAGCAACGACTGGCAACATCATTAATTTGTTTATGCAACGTACGGCAGGCATTACAGAACTTTTTCGCTACACTATTTTAGCTACCATTGTATACGCCCTCATAGCTGCTTTCGCCTTAACGTCTGCGGCCGTTTGCTTGCCATTCACCGGAATTCACAAATATTATCCACAGTTTATGAGTGTTCGTTGTGCAAAAGACTGAGAAGTGCAACTCAGGTCGAATGTCGGAAGTGGAAAGAAAAGTTGCTGCAACTTGGCAAAGAATCGGATACGCAGACAGATGGATAGGCAGAGCGAGAGCAAGTTAAAGAATTAAATTTTAAAGCCGCTTAGACGTGTGCATAGTTTGTGAAAAAGTATGAAAGCTATCATAAAGTTTTTAATAAGCGCAGGTTGCTTTCAACAAGCGCTTTGTGGCTTCAAGGGTGGCGTATGTATGTGCATATGTATGTATGTATGCGCAGGTAGGCGCACATAAGTTTTACGGGTTAAATTTTGCGGCCATGCAGAGCTTGCTTTGCCGGTTTTCTTTGCTCTCGATGTAGCGAAAAACGTCAAAATGTTAAGAAAATTTCCGCTACTCGGCACAAGTTGGCTGCAATTCAAAAGACGTTGGCACTTTGCCTTGCTAACTAGTGTGGATAAGCAGATAAGTTGATGCAATGGGAAGGGAACGGAAACGGAAGGAAAGAGGACAGGTTAAGGCTGTTCCGCTAAGAAGACACACTCAAATTTATAATAATACATAGTGGATAGTTGTGTGGTAAAGAGTGGGGCGTATGTTATTTTTTGTTAAGGAGAAAGAAGTTTATGTTCTAACCTCAGGCGCGTGTTTGCTTGTCTTATAACTTTTAAGAACGAAAAGCCATAAAGGTTTAGTGTCTATTTTGGGATGGTGAACTAATTAACTTCATTGTCTTATTAATTTATTGCCCTATTTCGTAATTCAAAACTCCTGATAACTTTTGTGGTCACAGTCTGATAACGGCTTGAGTTCGACCGGCTTCCAATGTTTTGAAAATATAAGAAACGCTTAATGTCCAAAACCGCAACCACAACTGAAAGCAGACATAATCGCTAATCGATTAAATATAACATCTACTCTCTCAGAGCACTCTACGAAACAACAAATGCTTGGATGAGGAAAGCCAACACCGCTGCAGAGAAAATGAATGTCGCCCATATATAGAAGGAAATCCTGATGGTAGCACCAAGGAGCTCAGTACTAAGATGGTAAAGAGTATAATTTCTTTTAAAGTTCTACACTGACTAGTTTGGTGTTCAGGAAAAGCTAGAAAGGGAAAAAATTAACATTCTATGGAATGATAGCTTGGTTTCATGTTTCTAATGGAAACCCTGTCTGTAAATCAAGATAAGCCTATGAATCAAGCCTTTGAATTTGAAGAGCTGTTGGGGTCCTGGATCTATGTATGACAATCTGAATAATATTCGTGTTAAGTAAAGGCGATACTGATATAAGCTTTATAGGCACCTAAGAGGACCTTGTATCTGACAAAACCGGCAGGATAGTTTTCGGTTTTACCGCTGAACTATCCAGGCGTTATTTAGTTATAGACTGCGAAAAAACACTTCAGCCTGGTCAGCGAAGCAACAGGCTAGGAATGGGTAGTGAATAAATAACTCCAGTTAGAAATTAGCCATGCACATAAATTAGGAATGCTTTGAGCACAGATGCAATATTTTCTTTAACTTATCAAATAAATCGACTATGAGTTTCTAAATAGGTGGCAACCCTCTAAAGTTATAGAGCTTACTTAAACTCTTTTCGATTGACACCTATGTATGCACATATCATAAAAGAATTTAATGAACTTATTAAATATATGGGTTTTAACTATTTGAACTAGTGGTAACCCATTCGCTCTCTCTCTCTCTCTCTCTCTCATTTGAAACCCATATCCAAATATTTAATTTTACGGGTTTTGAATTTATTAGCTGGTGGCAATCCTAATAAAAATATGTTCTAAAGTAAACATTCTTAAATTTTTTGATACCTTTGTATATTAAAATATTGGATTTAGATAATTTATAGGTGGCAACCCTTTTATAAATATAAAAAAGTTGTAGAGCCATCTTCAACTATTTTCGATTGACTTCTTTATACGTATGTACATATGTGTGTGTCTTAAAAAGATATAAATAAAATGATTTTACCTATTTGAGCTAGTGGCAACCCACTGCAAAAATATTTTAGAAATAAAGCTTGTTCAAACCTCTCTAGTTTGACATAACATTTTATTCAATAAGTTTTTCAACAGGTGGCAACCCTCTTCAAAAATAACTTCGAGATAAATCGCTTTCCAAAGCCTTTGTCTTGACACCTGCATTGTTATAATATTTTATTTAAAGTATTAATTGATTTTACATGTGTGGCAAATTTCTTTGAAATACGTCCAGCTGTTTTAGGTTG